AATATTAAAACTATTTTGTAGCTTTGGCATTTATACTTTTTGTGTCTCAGTTTCTTTATTTAAAGAATATAGATGATTATGTCAATCCAGTGTACTACACTTATGATCTAAAGAAACAAATACAAATATAAGTCTCAGTTCAATATAGGAATTTAGTACATTCATAAGGTAGCACATACATAATTAACATGGAGATTTTATTTTCTTTAGAAGGGAAGCCAGGAGGAGCTGGGACTCTGGCTCAGCAATAGAGCACTCTCCTAGCACAGGCAAGGTGCTGGGATCTATCCTAGGCATCATGTAAAAATAAATAAATAAATAAAATAAAGGTATTGTGTCCAACTACAACTAAGGGGAAAAAATTTTTTTTTAAAAAAAAGTGAAGTAAGGAGTGTGTCTTGGAGTAGGTGAGATTTTAGAAATTCTTTTTTTTCTTTTTGTTAATGTAAACTGGGTTTTTTCACATTTTTTAATTTGTTATGATTAGTTATACCTGATAGTAGAATGCACTTTGACACATCATACACAAATGGAATATAATTTCTCATTCTTCTGGTTGTACATGATGTAGAATCATACTGGTCATGTAGTCATATATCTACATGAGATAATAATACCTAATTCATTCTACTATCTTTTCTTCCTCCATACCTCCTCCCCTCCCTTCACTACCCTCTACCTAATCTAAAGTACTCTATTTTTCCCCTAGCTACTGCTCTTATTGTGAATTAGCATCCGAACAGCTGAAAAAACATTCGGCCTTTGGTTTGGGGGGGGGATTGGCTTATTTCGTTTAGCTTGATATTCTCCAGCTCCATCCATCTACCAGCAAATGCCACCATTTCATTCTTCTTTAAGGTTGAGTAATATTCCATTGTGTATATATACCACAATGTCTTTATCCATTCATCTGCTGAATGACACCGTTCCATAGTTTAGCAATTTTGAGTTGAGCTGCTATAAACATTGATGTGGCTGCATTACTGTAGTATGCGCTGATTTTAAGTCCTTCGGGTATAAACTTAGGGGGATTTGAATTCTATTATTCGGACTAAATTTGGTTTACTAAGTCTAATTTTAATAGTATTAAATTTTATCTTCACTTCTACAAGGAACAGGAATTGTTTCCAATATCAAGAAGAATAATTTGTTTATTACAACTTGCCTCTATGTTTCATCATAAAAAAAGAAAATGATGGACCCAAAGTAAGATTGTATTTTGAGAAACCAGTGTTTTAGAAGACAAAAATACATTAAAGATCATTAACATAAAATTCACTTTTAGAATTTTTTACTATTTTATTTACACATTAAAAAAAATAACTGGATACAGTGGCACACACCTATAATCCCAGTAAATCAAGAGGCTGAGGCAGGAGGATGGCAATTTCAAGGCAAGCTTCAGCAATTCAGTGAAGCCCTAAGCAACTTATCGAGACCCTATCTCAAAATAAGAAAAATAAAAACGACAATACACTAAGAATTTATGTCACTCCAGTCAGAATGTCAGCTATTAAGAATATAAACAACAATAAATATTAGCGAGGATGTGGGGGGAAAGGCACACTCATACATTGCTGGTGGGACTGCAGCCAATATGGAAAGCAGTATGGAGATTCCTTGGAAAGCTGGGAATGGAACCACCATTTGACCTAGCTATCCTACTCCTCGGTCTATACCCAAAGGACTTAAAAACAGCATACTACAGGGACACAGCCAAATCAATGTTTATAGCAGTACAATTCATAATAGCTAAACTGTGAAACCAATCTAGATGCCCTTCAGTAGATGAATGGATTAAGAAAATGTGATATATATATACATGGTGAAATATTTTTTATTGATTTTTTTAAAAAAGTTAAATGACAGTGGAATGCATTACAATTCTTATTACATGTACATAGCACAATTTTTTGTATCTCTGGTTGTATATAAAGTATGATGACACCAATTTGTTTCTACATACATGTACTTTGGATAATGATGTATATCACATTCCACCATCCTTGCTTATTTCTTGTCCCCTCCCTTTCCCTCCCACCCCTCTGCCCTATCTAGAATTTATCTATTCCTCCCATGCTCCCCCTCCCTACCCCACTATGAGTCAGCCTCCTTATATCAGAGAAAAAAATCGGTATTTGTTTTTTGGGGATTGGCTAACTTCACTTAGCATTATCTTCTCCAACACCATCCATTTACCTGCAAATGCCATGATTTTATTCTATTATTGCTGAGTAAAATTCCATTGTGTATATAGCAGCACAATTCACAATAGCTAAATGTGGAGCATATATACAAAGTGGAATATTACTCAGCATTAAAAGAGAATAAAATCATGGCATTTGCAGGTAAATGGATGGTGTTGGAGAAGATAATGCTAAGTGAAGTTAGCCAATCCCCCCCAAAAAATACCAATTTTTTTCTCTAATATAAGGAGGCTGATTCATAGTGAGGTTGGGAGGCGGAGCATGGGAGGAATAGACGAACTCTAGATAGGGCAAAGGGGTAGGAGGGTAAGGGAGCAGGCCTGGGGGTAAAAAAGATGGTGGAATGAGATGGATATCATTACCCTAAGTACATTTATGAAGATACGAATGATGTGAATATACTTTGTATTAACATTAACACCCTCTATAATTGTCAATATTCATAGTTTTATTAAATTATCCATATAATAATGTGAAGCTACTCATTTTTAAAAATTAGAAATATAAAATAAACAAAAGGAGTAACAATGAGAAAATTACCCATAAAATGTTAACAATTAAACTTTTTGTATTTATTGGTTACAAATCTTTCAGAAATTATCTAAATTAGAAATTTGGGTCACAAAATAGTATGTATTACACAATGTTGGATAACAGAGATAGAATTAAGCTGAAAACCTCAGCAAAGTACTTTCCATGTAAAACAAAAGTATTTTCTGATCTGAAATAGGAACACATAAAAGTTTTTCTAGAATATTTATTCCATGTTGCTTTACACACAATTGTGCTCTTTAGTATGTTATTTAGGAAAGGATTTTAATGAAGCTATTCAAGAATAATAAGCCCAGAGACTCCTGGGAATGTAATTATCTGGTTTGTTTTGAATCAGACAGTCTGCAGTTTGTCTAGTGTTTTAATAAGGTCTACAAGGATTAGAACCAGTCAACATATGAATTATGAAAACCCTAATCAACCTGAAAAGGGAAAAAAGACCAAATCATATGGGAAATGGAAGAGTCCTTACAAAACCTTGGAATATTATTCATAAGCATATCTACTATAGACTTGAAAATCAGGAAATATAGGGTTCAACTAAGAAAAGTTTGTCTGCGTGTACTTCTCAACATGTGAGCCTTCCCAACAGAAATAGGAAGGTATTATGTATAACTAAAAAAGTGGATAACAGTGAATTGCAATATTTTGAGAAGCAACACAGGTAGTAAAACATGAGATCTTTAAGCTTAGCTCTTTCAAAAAGATAGTTACCTCATTTTTTCCTATGAAATTTGTCATTGTATATTTGATGTTTTTCCATGTGTAATCAATTTTTTCAACTTTTTGGTATTTAGCCATCATAAATTGCAACAAACTTCTAGACAATTTTTCTGGGGTCAAACCCTGACAATATGCATCAAAGTGCACTCTACTGTCATGTGTAACTAATTAAAACAAATAAAAAATGTAAAAATCCTGATAGAAGTCTACAGTCCCCAAATAAACTAGGGCTCAAAATAAAGGAAAAGAAAAAGGAATCTATATTTTGATGGAAAGGACAAATACAAATACAAGATCATTGGCAGTTTCCTCAGAAGAAATTAGCTCTCCAATTGATTTCAAAGTAGGCTATTATCTCACTGTGTATCCTGATAAGTATAGCTATAAAAAAGTGGCCAAAATGTTGATTTTATGGACTATGTAATGCAATGTTGTGGCATAGTTTAATATTTTCCAATATATGGTTCAAAGGAAGGGTCCCTAATTATTTGTCACAATCATTAGTACTAATAGGTGAATCACTCTTGATAAAGTAAAATATCTCCTCTAACTTCCTTTCCTAGAATCTATATTTCCCATAGTTTTTCCCACATCAGTTTTCCTTCTAGAATGAGAATGTGATGACCAGCTCACTAATGTCATCTGCTTGGCAGATGTGTTTGAGATTCAGAAAATCTTTTGTTACAAACTAGTTCCATGTGAGCTTGGGTTCCTGGGTGACTCATTCTGGAGGCACATCATCCCTAACTCTCCAAAGTGGAAACCTGGCCCTAGAACAAGGGCAGCTATAAACTGGCTGGCACCTACAGGGCTCCAAGCAGAATCTCTAGCTCAATGCCAGTGGTGGGGGTTATAATGTCCCATTAGAAGTGACCAAAGGTATTTCAACTAACATATTAACATAAAAGTTAGGGTGGGCTATAGCTCAGTGGCAGAGTACTTGCCTAGCATGTGTGAGGCACTGGGTTCAATCCTTAGCACCACATAGAGGTAAATAAGATAAAGGCATTCTATCCATCTACAACTACAAAAATTTAAAAAAAAAACCATAAAAGTTATAAGAACTATCTAAAAACATGGAAGCCAGAACAATTCTTAAAACTAAAACTCCCAAACTGCCTGAACTTAAATATTGCTCAATTGACTAAGCAGAGGCTCTCAAAGACGTAACACTGCAAGTATAAGCAGCCTTTGGGTTATCAGCTTTAGTTATCAAGTCCAAATAATATTTGAAATGGGTGAATACAGGAGTTTTGTACTAAGAGTTTTGAGGAGTTGTAAATTATTTTGCATCTACTGAACTCTTTTAATCTCATTGCATGAAACAATTTATCCACACTCAGCTTCAACAGAAAAAAATGTGAACTATAGAGACATTAAATATATAGATATCTAATTTATAAACAGGTTTATTTTACTATGGAGAGTGGAATGATTAAAAAGTAATGAATATTTATTAAATTAAATGACAATATAGGAAGCCCTTGCATTTTACCAAATATTAAACAGCACATCAAGTATGCTTTTAAATTTATTTTATTATCTTTAATGAACTATGTTGAACATTTTACAAATCTTCAGACTGTTACAGTTTTCAGCAGTAAATATAGTAATAACAGCAATAAATACACTGAAATATGAGATTTCTCTGATCAAAGAATACAAAAGAAAGCAGTTGGAAACAAGGACAAAATGCAGACTCTAGATCTGAAATAGAAATTAATACAAATTCCTTTACAATGTTGGTGTATGGAGAGGTGAGTAATCCATACCTGATAAATGAATGTGTAACTCTGAGCTTCACTTTCTGGGAAGTTTTGAGGGTCATTCATTATTTGGCCCCCATATCTCTAAAACCCTACAATATGTATTGATACTAGAGAATTCAAACACACAGAAGGCGATCTGAAAGTGATTGCTAAAGCAAAGAAGTGCTTTTTTTCCCCTCAACATCTGTGATCTTTGTGATAGACTGTGTATTATAAAAGGGCATAATCCCTATACAACTGCATAAAGTCATAAAAATTGATTTTATAAAGTCTCAAGATCATAATATGTATTCAAAAATACATATAGCTGTGCTTTAGTAAAGGAATCCAACAGTTGAGTGATAGTTTTGCCTCTTATATCCAAAGTATATACAAAGGATCCACAAATGTTAACAATTTGTAATCAAAATTACCTAGGTTTATATTTGCAAAAGGCTGTTGGTTTTTAATTTAAAAATTTAAGAAAGTAGTGAATATTGTTTATCATCACTTGGGCTAAGAAAAAGTAGATGGCTTCCACTTTTTTAAACAGGAAATTTGTAAAGTACTCACAAATAAGTCTTTTTCTTTGATCACTAGAAAAGATAAACTGCCTATAATTCCCAATTGAAAACAGTATGTGCAGTGTCCAAAAAAAAGGGGGGGCGGGGTTTGTTCTGAAACCAAATAAATAGTTCAAGAAAAGCCCTTGGGATACATTGTTTCATTTCCTTTACACAGAATGAATAAAATAAGTGGCAAACCTGAATGGTATACCTATACCAATAAATCTATTTTACTACCAAGCTGAGAAATGAAACATTTTTACTTAAAGGTGGGGAAAAACATACATGCAATATATTGAGGAGGTACAATATTTTGCTATATTGTTTCTAACTTCATTCCAACATAATTTATTCCAACATAATTTATCAACATATGCTGAATTTTTTTAAAGGGATTAAATACACAAAAGAAATATGACTTACATGCAAAATTCATTGTTCCAACATGAAACACTAGATTAATATTTTTAAATAAAAACTGCACATCTTTTTAATTTGGGTAACAAAAAAATGTACACTTAAGAAATATGTTATTATATCCTTCTAATAATGCAAGTCTGTATCAAAGGCACTTCCACAGAGCATTAACTCCTTAACCTTTTCAAAAATCTATTTCATTCATGCTACTTTTACTGTATTGTTCTGTATATGACCAATAAAAAGCCTCCTCTAATTGTGAGCCTTATCGGTATTTAAAAAAAGAAAAAAAAGTAAGCCTACATATTACCCAACACATTCATCTCTTCTATGGATCAGGGTACTATGTAGCAAACATATGTTCAGGTCTTTAAGTTCTTTGGGATACCACAGAAAGGGAGGAGTTATATGACAGAGTAGATGTTTCAGAACTGGTTCCAGGAGAATAATTGGATGAAGTCTACTCAGGAGGGAAAAGCTGCTGTGTCTCATGGTATATCTACCTACAATTTTACTAAAGCTCCTGTGGCTGATTTCAACTCTTGACTTGTTTAAGTGGCTTGAGTCTGTATGCTGCTTCTATGTTGAACAGTAGAGGATATGAAATAAAGCAATTTAGTTTCATTTTTCCCCCACCAAGAAAAAGGTAACACCAGATGGGTCTTCATGCAATTTTTTAAAAATGGGATGGGACCTTTATTTTTTTTTTTTACGTCTTATGAATGATACCTCAGAGCTGAAGACACATAATTAAAAATAGATGTTAACCGTGTTCACACTGCATTCTTTGCTATGATGAAAAGGACAGGGATATAAGACTTCCAAAACTGTGGGGGGAAAGCTGCAAAAACTACAAGTGATTTAAGGAAAAGCTTACATTTGCCCTGAAACGGAAACTGCTTTCCTCAAACATCTTTTTAAAATGTCAACATTTGACACATATAAATATCCTGAAGATATATTTTTTTTAGCCTCAGGAAAATGGCATTTCTTTTTCTGCTCATTGACACAAAATGATTATTTTTCTCTGCACACTTTGTTACTTTTTTTAAAAAAATTATATCATTTTAAAATCAAGTTTTATAGCCTTAAGTGACTGAGTTTGGATTTTTAGAATAAAAGAAATAAAACTCATTTGAGCCTCCATGTTATCAGTGAGCCTTAAACTAAAGTAATAAGTCTACTAAGTCTACTTCATTTTTAAGGAAAAAATAAGAAACCTTAAAATTCAAATTCAGTTATCAGGCTTTCATTTCTCAAATTTCTATGTAACTTTGATTTATTATGTGAAGTTATATCCAAAACGTTGGCACTTCCCCTCTCCAAGGACCAAGAAGCTTCTTGCCCATCTTCCATGAGTGTAGGATTTACTTTGGGGATGACACAATATACATGCTATTTATCTCAAAAAAGAAAATGTTCTCTAGTCTCTACAATAACATCAGTGAAAATGTTCATGTGGTGGCTTTTGAGTGCAGGCAGAGAAGGACATCATAGTGACATTTTACAGGGGTGATGCCTGAAGAGGACAGTTTCATTTCTAAGGGATCCATGGGGCAGTCACCAAGGCAGAGGTGACAATTTGGGGAACAGCTTTAGAAGTACACATTTTACTATGTTATTCTTAAGAGTCAGTACCAAATTGGCTAACATTTTCAGATACTAATATCTTGATGCTATTTTACACCTTGAAAGCTTGGATACTTTAAATTCATCACTCAAAAATTACAGAAAAGAATAGGCCAGAAAAGGCATTCCTCAACATCATTCCCTCCGATTACTGAATTACCATTTTACTATTTACTCTGCTCAGGGCATGTCCAGGGCCAAGAAGAGGTCACTCAGTCTCAACTTCTTAAGAAGTTCATACTGCAGTTTATAACAAGAAGCAAGAACGCACAGCACAAGACAGCAGAGACACAACCACCTTTGGAACTAATTGATGGGAATTAGGGGGCGCTCCTCTCGCTTCTTCCAGATGTTAGTCTTGCTATCTCTTTTGGCTAGTGGTGGTCTGCCCCGTCTTTTAGTGGGAGATATATTGGCTTCAAAATCTTCAACAGTGCTTTTTCTTCCTGGAGATTCTTCCCCAGGGTGCTCCATAATAACCCCACTCCCTCCATCTAAGATGTGCCTTAAAGCTGGGTCTTCTGGGGAGCAGACGGTGGTGCCACTCTCGCTGCTGCTCAGGTCTAAATCTTCTAAGTACAGGATCTTGGGCTGATGCATGCTTTTGATGAATGTTTTCTCCCTCTCAAGCTTTCTACTCGAGTGATGCTCATTCATGTCCACCCCAGAGTCTAGACTCGTATCATTGCTCTGGGTTCTCTTGCCCTTTTTCAGGTCTATAAAGGAGTGCCTCACTTGTGCTACTGGCTTTCCATCAAGAGACACAAACCATGCTCGGGGATGGGGGGAGGGCTTTCCTTTGGACAGTTCCAGGAGGGTCTGTTCTGAAATCCCTTGAAGTTCCGATGAAAATGGAGTCATTACAACAGCTTCATTCAGTGTTCCAGGAACAGAGACAGATTCCAGCAAGCTGTTGGAATAGCGACTCCAATCCGAGGTCTGAGAAGGCAAGCTCTGTTGACCTTCAAGGACGATATCCTCTTCCCTGGCATCTGGGGTCTGTGTATGGGAATGCATTGGCATTTTGGGCAATGTCTGCGTAAAGTTCTCTCTGTTTACTGGTTCCATCAGTTGGCCATAAACTAACTGGCCCTTTCTTGGCAAAGTGGCTGACTTAGCAGCATGTAACTGCTCTGAAGTGGGGAAAAGATCAGATGTTTGAAGGATGGCAATGGGCTGGCTATAGATATGCATAAGCTGCTCAGGAATGTGGGAACGCCCATACCCCTCCTCATCACCTGTGAGATACCTCTTTTCCTCTTGAGCATCACCTAAAGATGAAGATAGATTGTTGCTGATATGTTTTGATTGTTTGGTCCCAACATTGGGCTCCAAAGACTGTGCTGGATTTCTTGAGTAATTATTTTGATTGACTGATAGAAATGAAACATCTTCATTGTAGATTTTGAAGTTGTCCCGGGTTTTTACCATGGAAACTCTTTCATCTGCTTCTGCCTTTGATGGTTCTTTTTTCTGAGGGCTGTAGGAGGAGTTTTTGGCATTGTATAACTGTGACTTGTCCTCAGCTTTTAAAGCAACTTTAACTGAACTTATATGATTTATGTGTGTTGTTGAAGTTGTCTGATCTCTTTTGAGGACCTCCAGTTTAGTGACATTTCTTTCTCTTTTCTGTGGAGTAACACACTTATCCCTAAAGAGGAGGAGTAGGCAAAAGTTATGATCTAGAAGGTTAACTTTTTAAACACATCACAATATGTAGTGCTATTGTTAGAATGTATTTATATTTCTAATCTACATATTTTAAAGACTAACCTATTTCTACAAACTTTATAATGCACAGAATACGCTTTAGTGATACTATAATTTAATAGTTTTCTGGATTTATGCATATTGATTAATGTTGTTCTTACCTGCAATAACAAAGTAGAACAGCAAAAAATCCAATGACAATAACTATTGTTCCTCCTAATATGGCTGTAAGAAACACTGTGTGATAGGCAATTATATCCTTGGAATCCTCATTCAGACCTGAACCTAGATGGTTCAACATAAACCAAGAAACAAAGAGAAAATTTTATTTTAGGTCAAATTTTCAAGTATGTCACATGCTAGATAAGGCAGCTTGAATATGTATGCACACTTTTGTTTGCTTCCTTCTGATGTCAGAATTCCCCGTGAATTAGCATGAAGTATGCTTTCCCTACCTTTTGAGATTAATCAACTGGTTTGCTTTGACCAATGAACTATGAACACTTTAAATTGATGGTATAGCTCTACCCTCTTGCTAAGGCACTTTAATATGTGAATAGCATATCCCAGAGTTTATGTAACTAATCCTTCAAGCTGAGTTCTGGAATGAGAAAATAGTTTAAACTGAACCAAGCCAAATGCAACAGTACAGCAGTCAGCCTAAAACACTTCTACAAGCCTGGTGCAGGGATGCACACATATAATCCCAGCAGCTCAGGAGGCTGAGCCAGGAGGATCTCAAGTTCAAAGCCATCCTCAGCAAAAGCGAAGCACTAAGCAACTTGGTGAGACCCTGTCTCTAAATAAAATACAAAATGGGACTGGGGACATGGCTCAGTAGTTGAATGCCCCTGAGTTCAATCCCTGGTACTCCTCCCAAAAAACAAACAAACAAACAAAAACACTCATATAATATGGAAAGCAAATGAATGTTTGCTACTGTTAGCCACCGAGAATGCAGGTTGGCTGTTACAAAAATTGGAATCTGGATACTGAGACGCTACTAAAACAAAAACCTAAAATATATAAGAATGGCTTCCAGAACAAACAAAAAGCAGGGAAAAAAATTGTTTCAGAAGGCAGTAAAAATGGTGATTTAAGATAAAAAACAGTAACAAAATATTTGGTAAAATAAACCAGGAAAAAAATATTTCTAACTAATGTGGGCTTTGTTCAATCAGGTTTTGAGACAGAATGTTGTGAGTATTGATTATTAGTTGCATTTAATTAAAAAAAATTTTTAAATATATTCAAAAAATACTAAAGCAAGCAAGAATGTAAAGAACAGAAAAGTCAGAAAATCCTGGGACTTAAAGAATTAAAAGTTGCAAACTCCTTCTGTCTGGGCTCTGCAATAAGAAGACACTGTGATTCCAGGTAAATTGAACCCAGCTGGGGCACAGTAGACCCACTATCCTCTTGTTCTGAGGGAGCACACACCTGCAAATGCTGTGTAATAAGTTTCATTGCAGTTTCATTGCAGCTGGCTACTACAATAGGATAATCAGTGTAGCTTAATAAATTCTGCATAAAAGTGAATTCTACTGAGAACTAATTTATGAAGACTTCATTTTCCTCTGAAAAGTGTACAAGAAGACTAGGTCGTTATCAACTAGATTGTAATATGTATTCAGGGTGATGGTACAGCTGATTTTCTGATAATCTCTACCATGAGAAAATGTCCAGAATAAGGACCTTAAGTACACCAAGGACACTGGAAGAAAGTGAAGGACCACAAGGTCTTTAAGTCTATCCTTTACATTTTGCATCATCCAATTTTAAAAAAGTAAAGAAATAACAGCAATATTTAAAAGATTTGGAATACAGCATTGTGGTTATGCATATAAACCTTGTATCCAGAGTGTGTGAATTAGAATCCTGGCCTTGCCATTTATGTTTCCGTGGTATTGGCAAGTTTCTCTTCTTTGTGTCTCATTTCTCTCATCTATAAATCAGCAATAACAAAAGCCATACATAACCAATGTGGGTTGTTGCAGCTTAAATGAGTTAATAGTTATGAAATACTTAAATCTGTGCTTGGCCCATGGTAAGCACTCAAGTGCTAGCCATACAACACCACGGTTGTTACAGAATGAAATGTTAAGGTTACATAACAGGCACTTTTGTATTAGCTACAGATTCACAGTTGGTGACTAAAAATAGTGTATCATATCTAACAATAAATACAGTATTGTTCAATGTAATTTCTCTTAAAAAAAAAAAAAAGAAACAAAAGTGGCTTATTCATATCTGTAGGACCAAGAGCTACAACAGAAAAAATATCAATTAGGCAAAAAGCAATTTTGTTCCTAAATATACATGAATATGTATATATATGCCTTTACAATAGAGTGCCACTAATAATTAACACTTCGCAGGATTCTAGCAGAACTGGTTCTGGAAATAAGAGGTTGGTATTGTTGGACTGGCTCATATCTTACATGTATGACAACAGCAGAAAGTGTATGTCTGCTCATGTGCTTATTAGGTACATAGAAGAGGTCAGAATGCTAAAAAAAATCACATATTAATTCAAATATATATGAAAATGCATATTTGAAACATTAATAAGTGGTTGTTTATTAAACTCTGCACTCATTCACCTATTTTCCTTTATCAGTCTGAAAAATTACTTTTAACCACTTAACCATTTTTCCCCCCAAGGAATTCTAGAATTCTATTTTAAAATGTTAAAAACAAATTCAGTATACATTTAACCAAATTGTAACCAAAGTAACTCCAGCATACCAGACACTAACCTATCATGGGACTAATTTTGGCTTTACAGTAATATATCCTAAAATATTTAGGGACATTAATGATTGCAACATTAAAAAATATATATTTAATCTCTTCTGTGGGTTCCTGCCTCAGAGCTCCTAAAAACCCTTGGGATTTCCTAGGTTATAGGAGTCATTTTGTTCTAATGAGATAATTCCTGGTGGGCTCCTGGAAGAAGGATGATCACCAGAGTGAAAGCCCAAACCATAAGGAAGATAGGAACTTGTAGACCAGTCCCACACCCAGCCTCCAGAGTTTTCAACTCTCCAGAGTTCTGTGAGCTAGCACAGAAAATTATTAAACCTAAAAAGGAAATTGTGGGAACTCCCAATCTGAAGCCAAGTCATACAGAAGTGTAGGAAACCTGGGGAATCTGCTACTTGCAACTGGTATCTGAAGTGGCGGCAATCTTGAGGGATTGCCTGTGGTGTATGAAGACAATTCCAAGTAAGTACTGTCAGGATGGTAGTGTAGTACATGCAGAGAATGTTCACTAATAACTAGAGAGTCATAAGGTGTAAGGAAACCCCCACACACAATTTGTGTCCAAAGTGTTCTGTGGTAACATTAAAAAAGGACAACAAAAAGTTGATTTCTCCCTTTTCAGGGATGACCACATCTGTTAGCCCTAACATTCATATATTGGATCCTTAGCTCCCAGTGTTACCATATTTGGAGACAGGGCCTAAAAAGAGGTAATACAGATTAAGTGAGGTCATAAGGATAGGGTCCAATCAGATAAGACTGGTGTCACTGTAAGATGAAGAAGAGACACCACAGAAGTCTGTTTCCATGTATGCACAGAGGAAAGGCCGTATGATGACTTAATAAAAAAACTATCATCCATCAGCCAAAAAGAGAGGTCTCATCAACCCTGAGAGCACCCTGATCTTAGGATTTCCAGCTTTCAGAGTGTGAGAAAACAAATTTCTGTTGTTTAAGCTGCCCAATCTGTAGTATTTTGTTATAGCAGCCAGAGCAGATAAATACAATATCCAACTCACCCTGTTTAAGAACAAAAAAAATGAATACTCAGATGAATACCTATTTCTTGCTTACTTAATTATGAGCAAAGTCAGAGATATTATCAAGTTATACATCTAATAGTGGAGTGTTGCTTTTACTATTATGTTTGCAGAATCGATTTTTCAAAGGCATTACTAGAAGGTGTCTAAGTGAGAATCCCATAATTCTATTTTAGTACTCTGTCACACACAAAATCTTTTACAATAAATAGATAAGCTAGAAAAGAACTTCTGGGCTGAAGGTTTAGCTTAGTAGTATAATGCACAGGATACTCTGGGTTCAGTCCCTAGCACCAGAACAGTTTAAATTGAACTTAAACTGTTTTTAAAAATTATATTGGCTTTTGTAATTCAAATGATCACATAGAAACTAGTCCTTTCGGATATATATTTTAGTGGAAGTACACTTTTCTGTAAAACTCGAGTATTCCTGGGTTATTTTTTACTTAAAATGAAATAACTAGATTTGAGTTTAGGCATTAAATATTAATTGTTCTTTTTAATCAATATTTCATTATCGTTGCAAACTGAGAATAGGATAAGGCCAGACAGCTGGCCAGACTGCATGATATTTTACAACATGAAGAACAAAGGTAACCACCCTCTGATTTGTGAATAAACAATCTCATAAGCACTAAGTTCAAATAGAAACAGAAAGAATATCCTTCTTGATCATATATGGCTAATGGTTCACATTTCATCTAATGGAATACTAAATATATTGCTTTCATTTTTTAAAAAACAGCCATGTTCTCTTGCATGTTTTAAAATTCAAATGTTGCCAATGTTAAGTGAAAATCAAACTGGATTAAAAACTTTTTAGAAAAAAACTCTGAAATAATAAAATCACTCTGTTAGATTAGAGAATACTACAGAGAAGTATGTGTAAAATGTCATCCACATCCTGGATCAGAGTGTGTACTGCAACTATTTTTGACTAGCATGAAACAGCCAGGGAGTGGCTGCCTCTCAGCTAGGAGCCAAAGCACTTCAAAAGCCAAAGGAATGATCTGTGATACTCGATTGAAGATGGAGGAATTATATATGTATTTAACGTTCAATCCCAAGTCTTCCCTAAAACAACACTAAATGTTTTGCTTTGTTTTGATCCTATAAATACACAATCTACAAAGATAAAAGAAAATTGAGATAACAGACAAGAGCAACAAAATGTTGAAAACTAGAAAGTTGACATAACAAAGCTTGGTGTAGGGAAAGCCCTGAAGCAACTCGATTTCTGCCAGCAAACACCCAAAGGCCCAGAGAGCGGTAGCAAGCCCACCATTCAACCCGTCTGGACGACAGCAGGTTTGAGGATCTTTCTTTATTCATGAAAATTTAATGGACAAAATAAGCAGTCATTCAAATTTTTGAGAAATTTACTGAATGAGATTAATGTAGAGTCTTCTTAGGTTCAGATTATTTAGATCATCTGATACCATGTTAAATGGAAGAAAATGAGATACTCATTTATCCTAGAAAATTATAGTTCTTCCCTAGTGAATAATTCTTGGTTTGTGGCCACCAGCCCCCACGCACCTTCTGTTAAAAATGTCAGGTCAATTTTCATTTGGTTTATCACCTATATTCTCTTCAAAACAGTCTGGAGACACTATTCTCCAAGAGCCCTTTCTTCCCCCAGCTCCCACCAGAGATGTGCTTACTACCCAAGCAAATTCTTCACCCCTAGGATAATCAGGAATCAAATGAGAAAAAATGCTGGAAAGCAGTGGATTTGGCCAACACACAGCAACAACCTGGCATGGACAGCAGAGAGTCCCCTAACCAGCCCCTGTGGAGTGCAGAGATTCTGCCTTTTAGCATCTGGTTGTCAACCTTCCCTAAGACCCTATAAATTCCCCATATGCTTTTAAACTTGTTTTAAATTATCCAAAATGTTTCTGTTGCTTGCAACGAAAAGCATCAACTGATCTAGACAGAATTTATTCATAAAAAATGTTAACTAAGAAATATTTGATTTGAATAAACTTCATTGTTTGCAGACTTATGGGACACTCTATAAGGGACCTTAGAGTTTATGGAGCTTAATCTTCTCTTCTGTGCATGAAAAAAAAAAAAGAAAAGAAAAAGAAAAAAGAAGAAGAAAAGCTGAAGATGAGGAGATTAAGTGCTTTTCCCAGTATCAGACAGACAGCTGGTAAGTGGCTGAGTGGTCTATGAATATCAAATCCAGCATGATATCTAGATTTTTAAAAATTACTTGTTTGACTTTCACAGTACCTCTAGTTCCTGGAAGTGGAGCTGCTATCCAGTAGCCCAAATGTGGTGCATCATAAGTCCAAATTAAGTGATTGTTATATTCTTTGACCATTCCCCGGCCATGGTTTACCCAAGCACCTGAAAAGAAAGGTAAGCAAAACACTAGTTAGCTTCTATTATGTATCTTTAGGGTGATAGGAATTGGTTGACAGTAATGTGAAGAATACAGTACTTTTTGAAAAATTATGAAAACCATGACAATATATTATCAGGTAATGCATATTAAACATTAAACTATATTTAGAATCTATTATAATATGTAAAATAGAATTATTTGAATGATTTGTTATGACCAAAGGAAAAAAAATCATTATAAATAAACTAAGAATGCAGACATACTTAGAAGACTCATGACTTTCCAATTAGTGCTCAACTTGTGTATGCTCAGATATCTTTGAAGGTTATAAGTAGTGGAATCCCAATTTAATCAATAAATGATAATTGGTCCTTTGTCCTGGGAATTTGATTAAAAACTAACAGTGTATGTTTTATGACCTTATCAAGTTATTGAATATTGTTCTGTTCTAGTACTATTGGTATAGTTCTTTAAGAACTTTTTTTTTAACTTTAAAAAAAATGTCATCTATTCTAGTAAAATCTTGCCATCTAGAGAAAACAATTCAGTAAAGTCCTTACCTTTTATGAAGTTTTATGAATGTACAAATTTCATAAAAAAGCTATTATAAGTTTGTTGTATAGTTATATATTTGTATTTTGGTGTATTGACTTGTTATAGTAAATATCAATTGAAAACAATGTCTATTTTATTTTTCAATTGACACATTTGTATATATTTATGATAATGTGATACATGTAGACAATGTATAAACATAAATTTCTCAATTGCCTTAATCAAATTTTTAGATAAGCTCACATTACCTATCAGGAAAAAAAACTAAGAGGATAATTATTGATTTTTTTGTAAGCAAGTAATGCTGTATTTTTTCCTGTACATTATATATTGGCACCAATTCCCCCATGGTTATATTAATCAAAGTAAGGCCGACTTTGGTCACTAAACTTAGTGCATAAAATTATGTTACTGAAAACCTATAACTGTACCAAATTCTAAGACAAGATATTCAACAGAAAAATATTCAAAATATATTCACCTAGCTAACGTACCTGTGTTCATATCAAATGTCCAAGCAGGTATGCGATCCCCCACATTTATATCATTTGTATGTAAAAGGGGAAGAGAAACTTGAATGGAGCCATCCACCTTTAATTCTTTTCCTCCAGAATATATTTTCACACATACTGCAGCAAGAGGAGTCAGTTCAATATTTTCAAAACCTAGAAAAGACAGTTTAATAGAATCATGTACAAACAAAGGTTGCAGTTATATAGTAATTATTATGGATCTAAACTATCTGATTTCTCCATTTCACTCAGGGTTATGCATCCTTTTGGGGTGGGGGTGTTGGGGATTGAACTCAGGGGCAATTGACCACTAAACCACATCCCAAGCCCTATTTTGTATTTTATTTAGAGACAGGGTCTCACTGAGTTGCTTAGCAACCTTGCTTTTGCTGAGGCTGACTTTGAACTCACAATCCTCCTGCCTCAGCCTCCTGAGCCGAGTTATACATTTTAATGTCAAATAGTTAATGAATCCACATTAAGTATTTTTATAATGTCATTTCAAAATACTTTATATATATAATTTATGCAATGCAACACTGACAAATCAGTAGGCGTCTCAGTTTCCTAATTTTCTGATTCGTCTGATTTAAGGGATCTTGAATCTAACTGAATGTTTTTAAAAATGAACTAAAAAATAAACAAACATGCCCAAATAAAGGCTCTACTGTACCATACCATTAATCCAGTTACAGGTTTGCAGCATCTGGACCTGCTCCTCTCAATACCATCTGTTTCAAGGAGGGCCACAACGAACAGTCGTGGCTGCACTACTTAGTAAAAAGTATTCTTATTCAAAATGCAATTATTAATCGCTAGGTTTGGCAATTCAACATAAAACAAAATCACCCACAATACCATTTTTTAATGAAGGTGATATGCTTTGATATGTACTTACTAATACTATAATAAAAACAATTAGTATAACTGAGATTAAGAAACTTAGATTTTAAATATTAGTATCACTTAATTCAATGCCTCAAAAGTAGGAGAAAAGCAGGTTAATAGAAGGTTGATTTTACTGTTTTCCTAAAGGGTTTTGTTTTGGTACCAGGGATTGAACCTGGAGGTATTCAATTACTGAGCCATATCCCCAGCCCTTTTTATTTCTTATTTTGAGAAATCACTAAGTTGCTTAAGGCCTCACTAAATTGCTGAGGCTGGCTTTTTTTTTTTTTTTTTTTAGAATTTTAATATTTATTTTTTATATTTGGCGGACACAACATCTTTGTTTGTATGTGGTGCTGAGGATCGAACCTGGGCCGCACGCATGCCAGGCCAGCACGCTACTGCTTGAGCCACATCCCCAGCCCCCTGAGGCTGGCTTTAAACTTGTGATCCTCCTGCCTCAGCCTCCTGAGCCACTAGGATTATAGGCATGTGCCAACCTGCTCAGCTGCTTTCTTGATATTTTAAAGATTTGATTATATAATTGGTAGGATGACTTCTGAAATATCAGGAGCTATCTACAGACTTTGACTCTGGAGGAAAAAGCGTAGAAACTGCATTTCTTTTGATTTTGAAATATAAACAATGCCCAAATTATAAGATGTACCAGAATATGTACAGTAAATAAAAATATGGTTAGATGTATAATGTTAAAATTCCAGTTTTAATTTCTATAAATAACTAATTAATTATTAATTTTCTAAGTACTTTACTAATACATGAGAAATAGAAAAATTATACTTTTTACATCTTATTGGCTTTTGGTCTAAACTTTTTAATCTTTGACTTCAAAGCTTAAGTTTTATGCACTCAGTTACTGTTTATTATAAAACCCCATAGGTACTACACATTAATATGGATCACAAAAATATGGTAAGTACATGATCTCTTTTTGTATCACCTACTGTATATTTTTAATTGCTTGTTACTATCAAAAATCTTTGTTTCTTTAATCATGGTTAGCTTCTCTCTCACCTGAATGTAAGCACATGACAATTCAGAAAGGCAATGAATTAGGTGATCTAGGAAGAATCCCAAGGAGGGACTTTTGAGCTATAGCCATATGGTAAGGAGCTACCCAAGCAAAGACCTCAGAGAATACCCTTCCAGGAAGAATAAACAAGTACTAAGCCCCCAAACCAGATGTCATCCTGGTAGGTATAAGAAAGAGGTGGCCCAGGGCTTGGAAGGCAAAAGGAGAGAGAAGCCATAGTGCAGGGCCTTGGAGAATATGGAAAGTAGTTCATTCTCATATTACTACTACGAGACCTGGATCGTAGCCACCAACTGCATGTGGATATTTAAATTAAATCCATTTCCTTGTTAAATCCTGGTCATATTTCAAGGCTCAATAACCATATGTGGCTACTGGCTACCATGCTGGACAAAGCAGAACATTTCCAGCTGGGCAGCACTGCTCTATAACTTGAAAGGGCAAATACTGAATCACTGAAAATGTTCAGTTAAATATAACAATTTGTTGTAGTAAATTTCTTGAAATACTAATATCAAATAATCATAGTGAATATGTCATGAGCTTTGTAATGTTTTGAACAACCAATTAAAAAATACAAAAAAAATAATCATAGTGATACCATACATATTTTGTAGACTAGTTCACTTGTTAGTGATCTAATGTTAGCACAAACCAAGCATTATATAATCTGCCGAGTAACTATTTCAAGATACATATTAAAGTCTGTCAGCTGGCTTTCTGAAGTCCCTGCTTCAACCCCATCCCTCAGCTCTATGTAGTCAGTGGCTTCACAAACTATGAACATTGACGCCCCATTTGAGATAATGTCAACTCAAAGGAGGAAATAAAAGGAAATGTGTGAAAGACAATGAAAAAGTCAAAAGAAACTTTTGACTTACAGAGCTCTAGAACTGCACAGTCCAACAGAGTAGCCACCAACTGCATGTGGATATTTAAATTAAATCCATTTCCTTGTTAAATTACTGGTCATATTTCAAGGCTCAATGGCCATATGTGGCTACTGGCTACCATGCTGGACAAAGCAGAAGAACATTCCCAGCTGGGCAGCACTGCTCTATAACTTGAAATGATAGTGACATTCTCAGGATAATCAAACATTTAATGAACAATTTCAAAAGCAGGTAGTAGAGAATGTTAAGACACAGAACTCATTTTGACCCCTTCCCACTGTATCCAGTGAGTCTTGTCCATAATACACCCAACACAACTGGAGCTTCATTGCCACCATCCTATACCTGCTTTCATTTTGAGCATGCTTTAATTTATATCTAGGGAAATCTTGTCAGGTATCTTAGATTGGCTTCCTCAAAAAGCAGACCATCAGATAATATGAGCTTAGACTGTTCATTTGGAAGGTAATCTCAAGAAGCATCTACCATTCAGGAAGTGGAAACATCATACTGAAGGAAGCCGACACAGGACATGTCAATAAGCAGATTATCACTGTGGCAACACCAGCTCAGTCCCACTAGGGACAGAAGCCTAGCTGAGAACTGTCCTAGCCAAAGCAAGGAAACCACAGTATTTATGTATCATGTGTGCAATAGGAGATAAGGTGATAGCGGAAGAGTGGGGATCATCTGGCAAGGCACTGATACATCAGCTATGGCAGGTTAGAAAAATACCTATGTACCCCAAAGGTCCATTTGCCCATCTTAATCTCATTTATACTGCTCCTCAAATGAAATGAAACAAAAATTTGACATAACCAAAACCACCAGAATTATAAATTGTTTGAGGTGATTATACTCAGTGGAATTTCAATTGTGTTGCAATAAGTAGTAGAAATCATGGAACAATGTGGATATATATATTCTTAAGTGTGAAATTCCATCATTGCCTTAACTTTTAAACCACAACTAATATTAGTACATTAAAGTTATTGACTTTGGAAAAGATGTATTTTCAATATTTATTTGTATTTTACCCACAGAGAATAGCTAATATATATAGCAAAAGAAAAAAATTACAATATTTACTCCAACCCATAAACTTAATAATCTTTTTTATATCTTAATAATCATGGACACTTCTCATCAGTTTAGTAAAATTGAATAAGAAGTCAAATTACAAAAAGATATGTATAAATATCTTTGAATCTCTATTTGTATGTGTATTTTTTAATTTGCTATGTTTTATAATAATCAGTTATTTTCTATATTTTGCTTACATGTTTTGGATCAAATGAAATTTAAGGAACTAAAACAAAATTTTCATTAACTTGAAATAATGCACAAAGACTTAGGTATAATTGTTTTTTCATTGAATAAATGGGAGTTGCTTATAAATATTTAACCCAATTTGTTTCAAATGTGACATGTATTCTCTAAAGTTGAATATCAAATTTTTATTAACTATCTAAACATCCAAATACATAATGTTTGGTTTATGTGTAACTATTTCTTATAAATGGTATTACATTATGTAAAAACTAGAAAATACCTGGTTTATTGAGAGTAATTCCAGTGGTATACAGAAAATTGTCCACTTTCAAAAATTGTTGTAGAACTGTAAGAAAGCCGGTAACATTGCTAATATGATGGTTGTCAGGAAGCTTAATTAAGGCTTTTGAAAACTGAACACTTGGTTGAGATTTGGCATCTGGAAAAAGGAAATCTCATTAACAAACAGATAAAACAAATGCATGTTAAGTATATCACCATTGGTCAGAATTTCACTTGAAAGGAAGTGGTTATAATTATTATTAAATGTCACTATCATGTCCTCACATAATTATTTTAAATTCAGAACTAAATAAGAAGTTGTCCCTTTCTTCAGATCACACAAAAGCACCTTTGTACTGTTTGATTCTTTTGCCCAGAATTTCTTCATCATTTTTTGGATTTCACTCTAAGGAACCACATACTGACCCTTTTTAGTTCATATGGTTCACTTGGGGTTTCCTTTATTTTCCAAAAGAATGGACAGTGTATGCCAGGAAGGCTGAAACCAGTCAAAAGCATTTTATTATTCTCTTGGCCAAAGTGATTTGTCCAAAAATAGGCCTTTCCCCAAGCACAGTAATGAGATATAATGTGAGTTTTGCTTGAACATGGTGGGAGTGGGGACTTGGTTTACCTCTACAGGATTTTCTGTGAACAGAAATATATCTGGGAGTAGCAACAGCTGTCTTGTAACCAAAAATGAGAGCTTTTTTAAAAATTGAGGCAACATTCATACAGCGGAGAGTTTAGAAACAGAGAAAAACTAGTTTTCGGTAATTTCAACTGAAGTACTGATCAAGCACATCTAAAGTGGGTCCTACTAGGGGAAGAGGGCTTCCCTTGGGTGCAAGCTTGTTTAGGACTATATTATCAGCTCTTTGCAACAGAAGGTGTCTTTGATGACATTTGGCCCCATACTTAGGTGGGTAGGTTCTCTATTAGATACCCAAGCATTCATTAAAAGTCTTCCAAATACCAGTTCCTCAATTTATAAATATTACCTTATTTCAATAACTTTGAATTGACTATCTTCTAACCTTTATCAACTGAGAACTCACTAACAATACTGATATTTCTATAACCAATACATTTAATTAAGTAAAGGACCAACTCCTAAATAAAATTAGAAATTATTAGAAACATCAGCTTTTATTTTGGACTTTAATAAGATCACTGATAAAAGCAGAAGAAATAAGTTGAATTATTAATAGAATGGGGAAAAAGCAATTTTTAAAGGGTTGTGTGATATTAAATAATAACATAATGTAAACTAATTCTCAAAATCACTCTCTAGTTGATTTTTGATGTGTAAAGCTAGAAAAATAATGCCCAGAAAATAGAGGTTAAATAAAAACTGCACAATCACATATAATTGTTCCCTTATTTAACAGAATAACCCAATACCCTCATATCACTTACAAGTACTATCTACAACTTACTCTTAAAATATGTGGCTTAATTGTGTTAATATACCCTTGAAAATGAGCACTGTATGCAAAATATCCAGTTGAGCATCCTGAAGGATTCCCAAAGTTTCTGATTCATCCTTTCATCACAAATACATTCTCATGCCAAACACTTTATCACTGTACAAACTGAAGAGCTTTCTGTTTATAAATTTTATGAAAAAAAAATGAAAATGTACAATGTCTACAGAAGTTTTAATACCACCAGAAACACCCATCCTTTCTTGCTTGCCTTTACCAATAGGTCCCCTCCCAATGGGACCTGCCAAGGGATACCCAGTACTGTCCAGACAAATGAGTCCTCCTCACTGCTTGGTATAGAGGCCAAGGAGTGGACAGGACATGCTCAGACAGGTCCAATGCATGGATTCCAGCAGAAAGAACAATTTCTAATAGGGTTTGAAGAAGCCCATAAGGGGTAAGAAAGTGTAAAAAGACCAAACTGAATAAACCCAACACATAAGTGGGCTAGGGAGAACCGTATTTTAATAGGGCCCCAGCAACATAAAACGTGACCTCTGAAGATATGTGATTCCTACTTCTTCTGATTCCTCCACACACAATTCCACATCCTCCATTCTGTCATACCCCAGCAGAATTAGTGGTTCAAAATTCTGCCAAATTTCTTGACAGCTCAGTAAGAGATCTACCACCTCACTCCAAGATTAACCAGGCCCAAGTTCAATGTCCCCGCCCTCCCCCCTAAATAATAGTATTAAGTTTTCTCCTAAATACCAATTAAAGGGCCTGGGGAGTTCAGGTAAGGACCAAAGGATCATCTTCATGGTTGGAAAAGAAGAACAGGAGGACTCAGCTTGAATCAGTACCCAAATAAGGCCATTTGCATTCTTTCCTTTGGGATATTCAAGTAGGGCAAGCTATATCTGCCTAGCAGATCCACTACCCAGTCTGAGACCTCTCTCACCCAAACAGCAAGGTTAACCCAAGGGACATAAAAGGAATGACCAGCAATCAGAGAGCCCAGATGGTCTCTGGAACTTTTTCCTTATTTCACCAGCCACAATGCCCCAGTGAGAGAAGTGTTGTAAAGTGCAGACAGACACTGTTTTCAGTATTTTCTAAAATCAACTATTCCCGTTTGGGTGTTAAAATAGTAAAAGAAAAAAAAAACAATTCCCAGAATTATGTTTTCTATATCTATATAAAACACATAATATAGTTTTATACTAAGATGAGAATCAGTTCAGATTATAGTCAATACTAATCACTGACCAATTTAGGTTTTTTCCAAGTTATAATCCATATTAATTCACTTACATAATAATCATTTCAAGTGTTAAGTAAGAATTTCTGTACTTACCAGCTAATTTTCCAGTAATCAAAACAGTGTCTTCAAATAGCCATATATTTGCTTGGCTTTGTGGGAACAGTGAAAGTGTAATTGATGAATAAACTGTGAAATATAGCACAATTAAAACATTTAATGTAGGGGAAAAACTGAAACCAATATAGTTCTATCATCAGAAAGTCCTAAAAAGTGGAAAAAAGCAAACTACTTGATGGGAAGAGCAATTTAAGACAAAGGAAGAATGGATATGAAATATGACAGAGAAAAATAATACAAATAGAAAAAATATTGACATCACTATTTTATTCTATTGGTCTTTTCTATTTCAAATAGTTTGCACCAAGGTGACTTATGAAGTTCTATAATGGGACTCAGATGCAAATGATGAAGTGCTTAAATAACTGTGCTATTTTCTCTGTATAATTGTTATTCAGTTCTTAGGATTTTGAAAAAAACAAATTTTGGCTTCATGACTCAAGGTTCTTTAGCTAGAGATATTTATGACATACCTACTCTTCACTTTTAACTGTCCACGTAAGAGCACAATACTCTTCTGCTTACAAGTTAGTGTGTCAAACGAACTCAGAGTTGGCAGAGGAGGAACCAATTTAGCACACAGAAAATGATTCACAGGCAACTTTTAGTAGTAATGCCGGAGGAGTAAAGGTGGATCATTTGAAACAACTTATTTTCTCCATTTTTATTGGCACATTATAATTACACATAATGGAATTCAATATACTATATTTGTACATGCACACATCATAATTTGATCCATCTCATTCCCCAGGACCTTCCCTTTCCTTCCCATCTCCCTGCCCCTAATTCATTTGGTCTGTTACTGATATCATTATTTTAATTAGTATATTATAACTAAATTGTTTCAAGATTGGGATCAAGAAACTGGGACAAAATAAATCTTATAAATAAGAAATCAAAAAAAAAATAATAAGGCACACGCCTGTAATCCCAGTAGCTTGGGAGGCTGAGGCAGGAGGATCATGAGTTCAAAGCCAGCCTCAGAAAACATCAGTCGCTAAGCAACTCAGTGAGGCCCTGTCTCTAAATAAAAAAAATACAAAATAGGGCTGAGGATGTGACTCAGTGGATCAGGTGCCCAAGTTCAGTCACTAGTACCAAAAAAAAAAAAAAATGAGTTTTGGGATACTATCAAAACCACAACTTCTCATTTTGTACTCTATGCTAGGTGAGCATCTAAAATGAAGAAAAATAATACAGTATCCTCAAACCTCTTAGAAGACAAAACACATTTACATGGAAATAATTTTAATACTTTTAGATATTTAAAAGACAGTCAAAGGAAATAAGAAAAAAAGGGAAAAATGCTAAAAGCATCCAATGATGGGTGGAAATAAAATGAAATATACTTCTATTTACTTGCACAGAAAATGACTTGCCAAATGAAAGTGTGGTTTCAATTTCAGGATACGTTAGGATTTGAAGTAGTGGATTTATTATACTGGAGAGGAGGTGGAGAGGTGGTAGCTTGGACCTCAGGAGGATTACAAGCAGGGCCTTAACCCATATTTGTATACTTTTTTTGTAAGAGGGATTTCCCTGACAGCTTCTTAAGACTACAAAACCTGAGGAGAATCTTTCTAAAACTCACTAAAATAACACTTTGATTTCTTTCCACTTAAAATTTTTTTCTTACTATAAAAGGGATATAATCTCCATGGTAAAAATGTTAAGAAATATAAAATGATGATTATTGCAAAACCCCAGAGATAATCATTAATATTATATCCTTTGATAATTCTTACTGTGATTTTTAAAATAAGTATAATATACAGAATATTTTCACATTGCTTTTGTCATTTAATAACATCAGCACTTCTGTCTCTAAACAGAGTCTTTTCATAATGTATCTAAGGCCACATGTCTCATTTGTTAAAGCATCAAGGTTTACGTAAGCCGCCCTATATTACGTGCATTAATATTATAGATTTAGATTTCTAATATTATTATTACAGAAATATTAGAACTAACATTCTGGTGGACGAATGTCTGTCCACTCTATTATTTGTATGTTTGTTTTCACAAGAGATTCTAGTAAGTTTGTTGATAAAGACTCTGAAGTCATGAATGCTACTACCTGTTGCTTCCTTACCTGCATTAATGCTCTCCTTTACAAATCTATTAGTTCAACCAAAACGCATAATGCAAGTTCCCCTGACACTAATCTAGGTGCAGGTTTGAAACTGGAACTCACTTTTTAAAAATTTGTTCTAATTAGTTATACATGAGAGTAGAATGCATTTTGATACATCAAACATAAATGGAGTATAATTTCTTATTCTTCTGGTTATACATGATATAGAATAACACTGGTCGTATGACTATACAACCTAGGGTAATAATGTCCAATTAATTCTATTATCCTTCCTACCCATAACCCTCCCCTCCCTTCACACCCCTCTACTTTAATCTAACTGTATTCTTCCCTCGCTCCCCACCACCACCATTATGGACCAGCATCCACATATCAGAGAAAACATTCAGCCTTTGGTTTTCTGGGATCGGCTTATTTTGTTTAGCATAATATTCTCCAGCTCCACCCAGTTACTGGCAAATGCCATAATTTCATTCTTCTCTACTTTTTAAAAACTTTTCCATGGTGAAAATCTTAGAAGTGTGCATTTGGTGTTCAGCTCTTGGTTTATTAGGAAGGTACAGCATGCTAATTTGTTAACCAATCATTTGTATTTCCATTTTTGAACACTGTTAGGTCACCACATGGTCCATTCACCTCATTTAGGGAGGGCACTGGCACTTGCTTACTAATTTGCATAAGTTCTTCCATAGCAAAGACATCATCTCTTACTGTTTCATATACATTTCCAATCTCAGTGGCTCTTTATGTACAGGAGTTTGCGGGCCTTTTGCTGTTGTGGCTTTTTGATGTACAGGAGTCTGAGCCTTTTGTTGTTTAAAAATGATGAATTAACTTTTATGACATCTCTTATTGCTTTTAATTTAAACAGATAATTCCTAATTCAAAGTTCAGACAGGTTTTTTTCTTTATATTTAATATTATTTGATTGCATCTGCTCTCTTTGAACAATGTAGGTTGGCATATGGATCCAATTAACTCATTCCAAACAACAGTTAACCAAAACAGCTCTATACCATTGATATTTCACTTTTCTCAATGATTTATAATGGTTCCTTATCCCAGAATACATATTTAATATGTTCAATTTGTATCACAATACAATTTCTTAGTCTGGAATGGCAAATGGCCCCTAGCAAATCTTTTTTTTTTTTTTTAAACAAAATGAATTAAGACTATAAACCAATTTAAGGAGAAGTGAATCTGGGGTTGTGGTTCAGCAGTAGAGCACTCACCTACCATGTGTGAGGCCCTGGGTTTGATCCTCAGCACCACATAAAAATAAACAAACAAAATAAAGGTATTGTGTCCAACTATAACTAAAAAATAAGTATTTTTTTAAAAAAGTAGTAGTAGTAAAATCATTACCATATTCAGGCTCCCTAAAAAGAAATATATTTTTCCAGTTATCCAGGATTTTGGCTTATTCAGTTTTTTGGTAGTGGTTGATTTGTGTGTGTGTGTGTGTGTGTGTGTGTGTGTATTTTTATGTCTGTCATATTTGGTAGTTTTAGTTTCCTAACACACATAGCTGTTTTAAATTTTTTTGTTTGTGTTTTTGGTAGGTTGCCCTAAATAACCTTATTTTATTGAGAGAGATTCTTATTATTTTCCCTAACTGGTTACTATTGAAATATAAGAACATATACTAATTTGTACAAATGCTAATTTTGTGATCAATAAATCTTGAAATTCCATTGATTTTAAGAATTTTAAGATTGATGCTCTGTAATTTTCTAGGAATATACATATAGATTCAAATATTGATATTATAAGACAGTAGTTGTAATCTGTTCTATTACTATGATACATAAAGTTAATAGTTAGATTCAAATATTGATATTATAAGACAGTAATTATAATTTGTTCTATTAATATGATACAAAAAGTTAGTAGAGTTTAACATATAGTTATCATTCCACAATCCTACAAGAAAAGAAAACTACTTGGTTTTAATAGGATGTTACACTTAAACAATGATAAACAACTTTTTACTATTCTGTTTTAAGAATGTTTCCTTTGGAGTTACAGGTAAGATTGGTCTATAGAAGAAAGAGAACACATACATAAGAGCATCTATTGATATCACCTCTATTAGATCTTAGGATCACAGTACATTAGTTTTGTGAAAGATTTGGAGCACTTTTAAAGTAATCTTTGAATCAGGTTATTTTTACTTAGAATATTCTGGGCCTACTTCATCAGAAACCAGTATAATCATTTGTGTATCAGAAAGTTACTCATTTTATTGAACTTTTTAAGCTTACTGCCAAATTTGGTGTGAAACATTTTGTGACTCTAAAGTTTATATGTATTCCTCTTCTTTTCCTTGTCTTTTATTGCCTGTTTTCTGTTTAGGTTCGCCAGATACTGTGTTTTCTTTTAAATTTCAAAGAATCAGTATTTTGTCAATCATCTCTTTTTTATATTTTCCTGTATATATCAATCCACTTTAATCTTCATTAGTTCTTTTGAATCATTTTACCTGGTTTCTTCTTTCATTATTGTTTTTCTGTTTATTGCATAAATAGTGTGATTAAGTTCTTTCTTTGGGGAAAAAAGCATATATTTAAAACACAAATCACGTTAAGCTCATTTCTATTATGTTTTTCCGGTTATGACTTTATTCAAGTTTTACTTGTGCAAATCTTATTTTTCATTTTGTTTATCATTAACAACTCAAGAATTCAAATGTTTTCAATATGAAACCAAATGAATTATCTAAATTCTAACAAGAACCCTATAGTAAAAAGAAACTGAAAATATAATGGGTCATCCTTCCAATCAGTCAGGCTTGCATTTCAGTATCTTATGTGGCACAACCTTCCAAATATCCAATTAGTCACACTAAGCCCTGCCAATGTTTTCTTCAGTTTGTCTCTCGTATTCCCCTATCCTTTTCACTCCTTCTCCTAATCTAGGCTGTTGTCCCTGTACACCAGGAGCGCTGTCACAGTTTCTTAGTCAGGCTATCTGAGTCAATTTTAACACTGTTGCTTATACACTGTTGCATAGATCCAGTTTCTATATTTAAACTCACTGTGCTCAAGAATCTACAATAACTGCCTTACTATTTAACATACAAATCTAAATCTTTTGTCTAATCTTTTCCAAAGGTTCTTCCATCATCTGTCCCCACTACCTGGCCAACCCTGCTTTTTACTAATCCTTTGAAAATGCCAATCAATCTATTACCACCTGCAGACAAGCTGTGTACAGAGCAGAGATCATGTTCACAATTCCTTTAGGCTTCTTTAGAAGAAAAATGACTTCATGATTGCTATGGTTTGAATATTTATGCTCCCCCCTCCAATTGTACTGAAATCTAACCCCAAGGTGATAGTATTAAGAAATGGGGCCTTTTGTGTGGTAATTAGGTCAAGAGAGGAGAGCTTTCATGAATGAAATTAGTGCCCTTTAAAAATAGGCCAAAGGGAACTCCTTTTGGCCCCTTCCACCAAGTGAGGGCACAGTGAAAAGGTGCCATCTACATCCAGAAAGCAGACCCTCACCAGACACCAACTCTGCTATTAGACTTCCCAACCTCAAGAACATGAGAAATAAATCTGTGCTATTTACAAACCACCAATGTTCAAATTTTGTTATAGCAGCCCAAACAGACTATGTTTTCTTCACTGGCCTCCCTTCTTACCTACTTCCGTAGACTTCTCTAAGTGAAAGTCATTTTCAGTTTACCAGAACAAGGTAGTCCCAAGAGAGAAAACACATATCATTTACATTTAGTGAATGCAAAGCAATTTAAATGCTTACTTGGCATTCTTCCAGTCTTCCAAGGCAAAGCAGTCAACACGTAGCCATCTTTGTAAGCAATAATGGTTAAGCTGAGGCCTAATTTATAGGGTACTTTTATCAACACTGCTCCATTGTTTTTAGTTACTGTGGAATTTGTCTTCGTGTAGTTTACAAATACTTCAACAACTGCTTGACTCAGGTATTGACGACTGATGATGTCATTCACCTGAACTTTCAGCATAAATACAGACACTAGAAGAGAAAAAGGCAGAAATTGTAACCTATTAGATCCTACAGTGCATGTCACTGTCCTATAAAATGTCCCTCAAGTCATTCAAATAATAGTACAAAAATGGTTAAAGAAATATTTATAAAAGGATAAAGAGAAAAAAAATTCAACAAATTGATTCTTCTTCCTAAAGCTAAATAGATTCAAACACTTATTTTTAATAAGGCACAGTATTTTCTCCATTTTTTCTATTAAAAGAAAGCAGTACCCATTTCTTTTGACACATATACTTTTACCGTTTCACTAATTCTAATGAATCAAGTTACAGAAATTTAATACTAATTCCAAATGCAGTCCAAATTCTTAGATAAAATGCATCTCAATGCCACAGAAGTGCATAACTAATTCCTCTATTTTGTTGTTTTCTCTGGAAAGCAGGGGATGCTTTTTAGTTCCTAATATACAAAGTATCAAACAGAAATTATTCCCTAAAATACCAAAAAGTACAGAAAAATTAACATAAATTGAAGAAAATTAGAGTTAAAGCAGTCTTACTCAAGTAAAAAATCTTGACCATGTGTTCGCTGGCTTTACTAATGAGAGCGTCCTGCTAAAAAAGAATTTGTACCACACTAAAAATGCCTTTGCAAGCTTGCATCACAACATCTTTGCCAAGCAATCATACATGTGCCTAGAGTAATGATGCCCATCTCATTCCACCACCTTTCCTACCCTCAACTTCTTCCCCTCCCCTTATTCCCCTCTACCCAATCCAAACTTCTTCCATTCTTCCCTTGCACCCCCAATATGGATCAGCATCCACACATCAGAGAAAACATTTGGCCTTTGGTTTTTTGGAATAGGCTTATTTTGCTTAGCATGATATTCTCCAACTCCATCCATTCACCTGCAAATGCCATAGTTTTATTCTCTTTTAATGCTGAGTAATACTCCATTGTATATATATGCCACAGTTTCTTTATCCATTCATCTGTTGAAGGGCACCTAGGTTTGTTCCATAGCTTAGCTATTGTGAATTGAGCCGCTATAAACATTGATGTGACTGTGTTACTGTAGTATGCTGATTTTAAGTCCTTTGGGTATAAACCAACGAGTGGAATAGCTGGGTCAAATGGTGGTTCCATTCCAAGTTAAGAAATATCTTTTAAGGACTAACTATTTTGCTCTGTATTTGCATAAAGTGATTTTCATCTAACATTTTTCTTTTAACCAACAAAAGCATATCAGATAAACATATCCTAGTCAATGTTGACTATGCTACGATATTAATTTTAAAAAGGCCATTAAGCCTTGTCTATTCTTTGTTAAAATACACTGCACTTTATATTGCTTTTGAATAATAGGCATTCTAAGTACAAATAGAAAAAATTAACAACCACTCAGTCCTAGGGAAGGTACAATGAAGAAAGTTAAAAAATAAATTAGCTCTGATCCTTTAAAAACCCTCACTAGAGAGGCAGTGTTATTTTCTTCCTTTTTACATATATTGGTAACAGAGAGGTTTGACTATTGGCCACAGCTAACCCATAGCAGATGGGACAGGCATAAACTCAGGACTGCTCTCGTCAAAGTTTGTGCTCTTTTTTTGTGGTGGGGGCGGGGAGGGGTGGCAGGGACTGAACTCAGGTGCACTTGAACACTGAGCCACATCCCCAGCTTTATTTTTTATATTTTATTTAGAGACAGGGTCTTACTGAATTGCTTAGGGCCTCACTTTTTTGGAGGCTGGCTTTGAACTTGCAATCCTTCTACGCCTCCTGGGCCACTGGGTTCACAGGTGTGCATCACCGAACCATGCACAAAACTTGTGCTCCTAAGCCACTGCACTGTCTGTTTATGTGCTTTCAAGCAATACTAGCCCCAGGTTGTAGGGTGGGGAGAAGAATTGATTGAGAAAATGTAAGAGAGGGAATCCATCAGTCTTTAAACTAAGGATCCATCAGTCTGTGTGAGGCTTTGCTAATTTCCAGGACAGCCAATCTCACATACAGTCCTGTACTCCACAGTGAGGTTTTGGTCATGATGAGCTACATGAATGCCAGTGGGTTTCTCAGATTGTAATACAGGTGAAGAACTCATTATTTATGGACAACATGGCCACCATAATGTCAGAGTACAAGGCTTTCCTTGTGTGTTTGTGGATATGCTGTTGGAAACAAACCATCTGGGCTGCCAATGCTATAAAAGCATATCACATACAATTGTGTACAATATGTAATGCTTGATAACAGGTAACAAGCAACTATGTTTCTGGCTTATGTATTTACTATGCTATTTACATTATTTTAGAATATACTCCTTTGACTTAGAAAGTCTTTTTTGAGATAGTGTGTCGTGTTATGCTGACAGCAGACTATCTCACATCTACTTTGTCCAATGGTTTGTGTGAGTACATTCTATAATGTTCACACAATGACAAAATCACCAGATGATGCATTTCTCAGAACATTCTTGCCATCAAGAAATGTATAACTATATACTCAAAGTAAATCTAAGGAAGAATTTCAAGACAAAATATAGAAAAATGAAAGATATCCACAATTCTATTTTCTTTCACATTTTTAATACTAGCCATGTGGGAAGTCAGATTATTTGTGAGTAGTCATTACTATCATTACTTTTAAGATTTTTGGTAGAGTACTTGCCTCGCTTGTGTGAGGTCCTGAGTTTGACCTCCAAAACCACCAAAAATAATAAAAATAATGGAAAAATAAATTTAGGAATGTCTGGTACTAAAAAGATCAGTTGAATTTTGGGTCTTAATATCATCTGGTCCTCAACAATTTTTTCCATCATATAAATGCAACTCATTAACTAAAACCATGTAATAATTTAAAATCATATATAAAGAACTGGGAATATATACACATTTCTGTACAACGCCTCTTATACATAATATCACAAAAAATCTCAATATTCCTTTGTAAAATATATTAAGTTCATTCTGCCAATGAAGAAATGAGGATTAAGACAGGTTAGGCAAGCTTCCCCAAACCACCAAGAACTCCAAAGCCATCTTTGTACCTTATAACACTGAGGTTTAGGGTCACATTACTAAAATTAACCCAAAGAACATAGGATCGTGATCATCACTGAGAGCTTCAATTCTTATTTGACATCAATTAATAAGAAAAAACAAAATGTCTCCTAGCAACACACATACACACTTATAACAACCTATGGCCTCAAATTAAATGGGAAATAAAACTCTTGGGTAAAAAAATAAAGTGTTGTATTGTAGATGACATGATGAACAGTTGAAAAGGTTCATCAGGCACAAAGAACTGTGAGTACAGAATACAGTACCCAGCCACCCATCCCCTAATCCTCTAGTCAAATTTTACTGAGCCACTTGCATAAAGTACTCTCAGGACTTCAAAATGTGAATAAAGACACACAGAGGCTGATGGTTCTAGAGTTGAATATCCTAGAAAGGCCACAAGATCCTACCATTATGCTTTGCACTCTGCCCTGGTCCTCTCCTACCAGAGCCTGGGTTGTGCAGTCCTCTGGCAAATCTGTGAGCTCCACCATAATCCTTCCTATGAAGTCCCTTTACTTACTGTAGCAACACTCAGTTCCTGTTGCTTGTTCCTCAAGCAAGTCCCTTAAATGATACATACAGTGTATTTTATCAGCAGGCCACTCACTTTTCTAAGAAAAAGTAAAAGAAAGGAAGGATAATATTAAATACTTTTCTTTGACATAAGGAGGCTGACTCATAATGAGATAGGGAGGGGGAGCATAGAAGGAATAGACAACTCTAGATAAGGCAGAGGGGCTGGAGGGGAAGGGACCAGGCATGGGGTTAGCAAGGATGGTGGAATGTGATAGACATCATTATCCAAAGTACATGTATGAAGACACGAATTGGTGTCAACATACTTTATATACAAAGAGAGTTATGAAAAATTGTGCTGTATATGTGTAATAAGAATTATAATGCATAAAAAAGGTATTCAGTTTGGGGTATTAGAGCTCTAACTGGACTTGTTTGCATTTAGGAAAGATTAATCCATTTCTCTTCGTTGCGGTAGAATTAAAAAAAATTATTTTAGTTTTATCTACATTAATATTAATTTGTAACTATTTTTATCATAAAACAATGACAGCTGAAGAACTTAAAAAAATAAAAACCATGACAAATCAGTTGAGAGAGAGGTTGGACATAACTGAAAGTTAAGGGGGGAAATAACTAAAAGTTAATTAGTACTCCTTATTTAAATTTGATAATTGTGTTATTCAAAACAAATGTGCTTAAAATGGCTTCTTTGACAGCATATCAAGAAATGAGATTCCATGGGGAATTTATTAATCAATTTGCTTCAAATATCAATTTCAAAAATTCTCAGTCTTTGGAATCTCAAATTCCCCAAGTGTGGTAAAACCTCAGTTAAATTCACAAAATAACTGCATGCTCCATCTGTTTCATCCTTGAAAAAATACAGTTGCCAAAATAAACCACACTCAACTCCCGACAATCTGAAGCTGTGTTTGATTCATAAAATGTTTTTTAAAGGTTTCCTGATCCAGAATGTACGATTTTATTTTTTTTAACATACAATGTTGCAAATTTTATGAGAAAACAGATTTAGAAAAAAATTTTACAAAGGTCAAATTTTGATTATCGAAAATACTCTCCCTCTCTGATGGGATCCCCTGTAGCTGTACCTTTGATGGTTCAGGAGACAGTGCCTAATGGGAGATGGACCACCAGGGTCCTTTCTAGTTCAACTTGGAAAAAGATAATTAGCTTCTGTCCTGAAATTGTTTCCTCCCCAATCCCATGGACACCATAAAAGCAGAAGAGACCGACACATACACACATATTTTATGTGAGACACGCACAAATATCAGGCCCAAGGCCAAATATTACATATGTTAACCAATTTCATCCTAACAAACCTGCAAGACATTTTCCAATGTTAAAGCAAGGAAACTGAGGATAAAGCTGCAGAGTTCACAAGTTCTTCCTAGTCCACATCCCACTGTCTGTGCTCCA